AGGTGTGTATTCATTATGATCAAGTTACATTGATAGCAGGCAAGCAAAGATGATTAAGTATTAGGAAAACAACATAATCATTCAAAACAAGTCTTGATTATATTAACAGTTGTAGGAAAAGGGAAAAAAAAAACTTTGACAAAGTACAACATTCATTTTTGCCAAAAAGAAAAAGCAAAGCTATAAGCATCCATAGAAGAACCTTTTTAAATAAAGTAAAATTGAACTAGCTGACCTGTAAATTTCTTTCTAGCTCTAAATCTTTGACCCTGTATTGAAATGTCATTCTTTTTGTATTATTAAAAGTAGAGATAATAAAGACAAATCAGCAGTTTTTGAGAGTGTGAAATGATAAGTACCAGGTTACTTTCAGCCCTTAGTGTAGGAATTTGTATCATATGTTCTGTTTTGATTTGATTCAGACAATGTTTCATCTATGTGGGAAATTCTCTGGGTAGAAATTACCCCTACTGATAAAAAATAGCCACTCTTTGATATCTTAGTATTCTTAGAGAGTTGCCTTGGGCGCTCATAGGATAAGTGATTTGCCCAGAGCCCCATCCAAGATTGGTCTTCTGTCTGCCACTCTACACCAGCAATCTGGTGAGGTGAATAATGGACATTCTTCCAAATGCCTTCATGTTAGAGAACATTCCAAGCTCTAGAGACTGAGCATTTCCCAGACTGGGACTCATATGAAAAAGTTCCTTTCATTGAATAGACACTCAACATTTGTTGAATGAATGAATGAATAACTTAGTACTAAAACATTTTTATTAAGCATCTACCATGCACCATGCACTCTGCTAGGTGATAGGACTGCTCTTAAGAAGCTTATGATGCATTAGAAATTTATCAGTGAATGATTCAATCCTTATTATTTTTTGCCAGAATAATCTTCCTTCCCATAAATTTGGTCATGTAACTCTACTGATCAAACAATTTTTGTGATTCCCTAATGCCATTTAAATAAGTTCACACTTCTCTTTCTCCTGTTTAATCAAGGCCCTCTACAACTTTGCATCACCCTACATTTGCAGCCATGCCTAATATTCTTCCCAAGAAAGGCCAAGATCACCCACTGCATCCTGGGTGACCGCCTGTTGTTTTGACCTTTGTCTTGCCACTGGGCTCCAATGCCTCTGGAGGAGGACGCAAACCTGACGATTTTGTACATCTCTGCCTCACTCAAATCCAATTTACATTTAAGTCAAGACACCATGCTTGTGATGTCATAATGGATGAACAACAACAATGACCAAAAACAAGCACTATGTACGGTGGGGAAGCTTTGGAAGCATTCCTATAAATACAGGAATAAAGCAAGCCTTTTTTTCCCCCTTTTTCTCACTCTTTTCCCCACTCTTATTTGACAGAAATTTTGAAATATTAACAATAATAAGAAAAAAATATAGTCAAGGAAGAGACAAAACTATTCTTATTTACTAGTAGCATGATATTACATAGCAAGTCCTCAAAAATTAGCAAAGAAACTAATTGAGACAATACTTTAAGTAAAGTAGAATACAAAACAAACCCAGGGAAATTATTTCTGATACAGCAATATTCTTGTTGTATAAATCTAGGAGAAAATAATAGAAATGGAAGTCCCATTCAAAATGACCACAAAATAGGCAAAAAGTCTAATTCAGTCTACCAAGGCACTACTATTCAGTACTTATAAAGATGTAAATACAAAGTGCTCCTTAAAGAAATAACGTCTGACTTAAGTTAACTAGGATTATTCAGTGCTTCTGGCTGGGTCATGCTAACATAATATAAATGTCAGTACAGCCTGAATGAATTCATAGTGCTATACCAAACTACCAAATGGTTAATTAACAGAGCTTGACAAAATAAATAACAAAATTTATAGAGAGAAAGAAAAAGCATCTTGAATATAAAGGGAAATAATGTGGAGATAAGGGGAAGGAATGAAAGAAATAGCACTTCCAGATTTCAAAATATGCTATAAATCAATAATCATTAAAACTATTAAAATTTTTTATTAATTTATTTTGATTTATCAACAATCACTTCTATAAGCTGTTGAGTTTAAAATTTTTCTCCCCCTTCTTCCCTGCCTCCCTCCCTCCCTAAGATGGCGCACAGTCTGACATAGGCTATACATATACATTCCTGTTAGACATATTTTCACATTAGTGATGTAAGGAAGAATTAGAACCAACAGGAGGAACCACCAGAAAGGGAAAACAAAACACAACAGAAGAAAAAAGTAGCAAATAGTGTTTTTCAATCTATGTTCAAACTCCCTAATTCTTTCTTTGGATGAGGATAGCATTTTCCATCGTGAGACCTTTGGAGATGTCTTAGATCCTTGCATTGCTGAGAAGGGCTAAGTCTATCAAAGTTAGTCATCCACAACATGGCTGTTACTGTGTACAATGTTGTCCTGGTTCTGCTCACTTCACTCAGCATCAGTTCATGTTCAGTCTTTCCAGGTTTTTCTGAAATCTGCCTGCTCATCATTTCTTATAGCACAATAGTATTCCGTTACTATTACAACTTGTTCAGTCATTTGCCAATTGATGGGCATCCTTTCAATTTCAAATTCTTTGCCACCACAAAAAGAGTTGCTATAAATATTTTTGTACATGTGGGTCCTTTCCCCATTTGTGTGATCTCTTTGGGATACAGCCCTAGAAGTACTATTGCTGAGTCAAAGGGCATTAAAACTATTTGATACTTGTTAAAAAAAAAAAGTAGATCCAATGAATATACTAGTTAAGGAAGAATCAGTTGAACTCAATTACATAGTTCAGTCAACCCAAGAATGTAAATTACTTAAGTGCAGAACACCTTATTTGGAGAGACTTGCTAGGAAATTTGGAAAATGGTTTGGCGGAACTTAGGTTTATCCAGGACTTTTAAGCTTTTTTTTTTTAATGGGCCCCTTTGGCAGTCTGGTGAAGCCTATGAACTTGTTCTCTTAATAATGTCTTTAAATGCATAAAATACTGAGGATTGCAGTGGCATCAAAAAATTTTAAAACAAGTTTCACAGATTCCAAGTTAAGAACTTCAGGTTTAGGTCCGCATCTTATACCATATGACACAGAAAGATCAAAATAGATATATATCCTCAGTACAGAAGGAAAGATCTTTAATCAAACGAGGGTTAGAGGCAATCAATCATAAAAGATAAAATAGATAATTTCAATTATATGATGCTCTGAAGTTTGCATGAATAAAATGCATATATCTAGGATAAAAAAGAAGTAGCCAGTTGGGGAAAGGTCATTACATCAAAAACACTCTTGTTATATCTAAGATATATAGGGAACTGACACAAATATATAAGACCAAAAGCCATTCCCCTGTGAATAGAAGGCCAAGGGATATGGACAATCAGTTATCAAAAAGAGAATTGTAAGCTATTAACAATCATATGAAAGAGTGTTCCAAATACTATTAATATGAGAAATACAAATAAAAACAACTGAGTTTTCACCTCACACTCAGCAAATTGGCAGAATGACAAAGGATGAAATAGTGTTTGTGTGCTTGTGGAAAGACAAACTTATGGTATATATGTAATAATAGTACATTAATATATGTAATAATATGTTACTACCATGGCAGAAACACTGGATATGATGAATATACAAATAAGCTTTGAAAGACTTATCTAAACTGTTACAAAGTAAACTTAGCAGAACCAGAAATAAATATTCACATAGTGACAACAATGTAAATGAAGAGAACAACAACACAGTATAAATAGAATGTTGTGAAATCATAATGAACTAGATTGGTCCCAATTTATAGATATGAGAATGTACCTTCCTTCTTTGTAGAGGTGAGAGTGACTACAGATTTGGAATAGTTTGTATAATACCTTGACTGATTATTGGTTAGTTTTGCCAAACTTTTTCTTCTTTTTTAAAAATTTGTTATAAAGGATGGCTCTCCACAGGGTAAAAGAGAGAAGAGTATGTTGGGAAATATGAGTAGTGTAAAACCCAAGCATATCAATAAATTTTAAAATAAAAATATATTTTCAGTGGTCAAGTTAAGTCTGTCATGTTGGAAACACTTAATAGCTGATTCTTATTAGATATGTATGTTATAGAAAATACATTATTTTTGCCTGCGACATAAATAATAGCTTATACCTTTCAAGAAAGAAGACTAATCTCTTTGATACAATTTTTGATTATGGACTACATAATTGTTTTCACTCTGATAGTTATATTAGCAAAATGAGGTAAAAATTTGTTTTATTAGCTAACATAGTTGATCATAATGGTAGGCAGTTATTTACAAATTTGGCCATCTAAGTCTTATATAGCAGTCTTCTCAGATGAACTGTCCAACGTATTGTAAGGGTAGTTGAGTAGGAACTATCATTTGAGATTTCTTGCCTGAAAAATACTCTTGGTATCAAATGTCGCTTTTTGTTCTAAATGAGATTTCATCATCTCAGGACCGCCCCAAATCCTGCCAGGGTTTGAGACAATATATTTAGATTAAAATCCCAAGCTCTTTCTAAAATAGTAATAGTAGCCCTTTCCTGATTCTGAGCTGCTGTTTATATTTTGTAGCATTAATTTTAAAATTTTGTCATAAATTCTAATTTGAAATAATTATTCCATTTTTTAATACCTGTATAAGCCAGGTATATTCTATGTAGTTCAAATTCCTAGTGAAACTATGAATAAAAAATTGGCTTTCTGTCTCTTTCCCTTTCCATCTTTCTTTTCCCCACTTCTCTGCCTCTCCTTATCTATAAAATAAAGGTAGTGATATCTGTTACACTTGACTCATAAGGTTGTTGTGAGGATCAAATGAGATAATAATATTCTTAGAATTTTGTAAAACTTTAAAGTGCTTCAGCAGTGTTAGCTTTAAAAATACTTCCTACTCTTCCATATAGTTTGCATTAAAGGTATAAGAATTTTGTATAAGAATGTAATTTTCTCAGACATTATTGTAGGTTATATTTTGGTTCCTAATTTGTATTTTTGTCTTATTTTAAAGGTTCAAGAACCAGAAGGAGAGTCTTGAAGTAAAATGAATACAATAAGCCTATATGTGGAATTTGCTTCATTTCTCCTTTTTTTCAGTAATGATTCTTTTCTCCCTTCCTGTGTTGTGTTTAATTTTCATGTGAATCTTGTGAGGAAAGGTGGTGGAAATATTTTTAAATCCTTGTGTCTTTGAAGAGTGTTTAAAGATTTTTATTAAAATAAATACTTCATATATTTGTTATGCTTTAAAGTCCAATTTATGAAATGTTCAAATCATATTTTCATCATTTAATGCATTTTGTGACATCCTGAAAATGTTTAAATTTCTGAAGTAAATGTTAGCAGGTGTTACTTTAAAAAAAGCTTTCTAAGCAATTGATGCTTTGGAGGTTATACAAGGAAAAATTCTCAATATACTTAGATATATTGGAGAGAAAGTAATGTATTTCATATGCACTTAACTTTATTTTGATCCAGTATAGGTTCCTCCACCCCCACCCCCACCCCATGCTAGAATTAGTTATCTGTGGAATTTTAAAAAAGAGTTTTTCTCCCAAGTAAAGAATTCTTGGGCTTTTGAAACATGTATTTTTTTTTTAACCTTGAAGTTTATTGTAAATTTGTACTTTTGAAATTTAGTAATTAGTGGATAGGTATTTTTTTGAGAGCTTATGATTGTTGTTTTAATAGTTTTTACCTTTAATATTATCTTATATGATGATACATAGGCCTCTAGGAATTAGACAGTGTACCCAATTTAGTTCATTTATCATCACAGTATATCCTGGTTGAAAGGAGGTAGAGGCAGCTACTCTTCCAGATTTCATAAAAGAGAAACTGATACACTGCAGTGTTAAATGAGTTGTCTATGGCCAATGGCAAAAGGAAACCTGTCTCCTTAATCCTACCATTCTAGTTTAGTTCACAATTAAAAGTGCATTTCTTTTCTTCCAAGCAATACCACCTTGCCTCAGATATCAGCCTGTCAGTCAACCAAGAAAATAGAAGATACAAATAAATATAAAAAAAGGTTTCTTGCATTTGAGGAAAAACAGGTGACTCTAAACATTATTTGATTCATATATCAATTTATTGTTATATCAGTAAATATTCAGTAAGCATTGATACATTTCAGTTCATTGATACAATTCAGTTCAGTTAAGCCATTTGTTAAGCACTCAATATGCATACAACACTATGCTAGGTGATGGCACTATGGAAGATAGAAGAAAGCTCTGATGGCAAGAGTTCTTGTCTTTGAGAAGCATATAGTGTACTTAGGGAGATAAGGCAGGCAACGAGGTGGTGCCGTAGATAGAGAACTGGACCTGAAATCAGGAAGACCTAAGTTCAAATCGAGCCTTAGCCTTTTATTAGTGTCTTTTTAGTAGGTGATATCATCACCTACTTCCCAGAGTAGTTGTGAGGGATCAAAAAAGATGTTTGTAAAATGCTGTCTAAATACTAGCTGTTATTACTAATATACATAATGGAAGTTAAATAACAGTATAAGAAAAGTTATAAAAGACTTATGATTAATTATTAAATGAGTAGTATAGGACATAAATGCTATGGAAATAGTTCAGTGGAGCGAACTCATTGTGAGGGTAGGGTGATCTGAAGCTTTATTAAAATGTATTTCTCCTTTGATGAGATAGTTTGTAAATAGATATACCCTTCTAAGCCATCTGTATGAGATTATTTGCCTTTCTTATTTTAGTGCTCATATTATATACAACTACACAGCTTTATTTTTAATGATTCAGAATTAAACAGTATTGAATATATATACATTGAATGTGTTTGTGTATGTTTAATGAGATTTTAAAAAATTTGCTGCAGTTTTTTAATATATTAAAATAATTACAACATACAGTCCACAAATCCATCCTAAATGTTACAGAATTTAGAATTGGGATATAAATTATGATTCCCTGATTTTCGTATTTATTGTAATTTTAGTTCTATCAATAGTGTTTTGCTTTTACATCACACTACTATAGGAAATGAGTCTTTGGTGTTTTCTTATTTTAAAATCCTCCCAAAGATCTAATGTTACACTCATTTACAAAATTTTTGTTGTTGTTTAGCTGTTTTTCAGTTGTGTTTCCCATTTGAGATTTTTTTTGGCAAAGATACTAGAGTGTTTTGCTATTTCCTTTTCCAGCTCATTTTACAGGTGAAGAAACTGAGACAAACAAGCCTAAATTACATACCCAGGGACATACAACTAGTACGTGTCTCAGTCTAGTTTTAAAAGGTCTTCCTGACTTTAGACCCGGCATTCTATCTACTGCACCACCTAGCTACCCGCATTTACAAAATAGAGAATTATGATTTGTGGGGAGAATATCACTGATTTTTGTAGAATGCCAGATTTTAGTTATTGGAAGTGTTGTCCCAAGTTTATTTGTAACACCTAAATCAACTCTCAAATTCTGTTTCAAACACATTGAGGCTTAAAATAGGGAAAAAAAAGTGTGCAGTATGTATTTTGTCTATGTGCCTTACCCTTTCTATTTTTCAGATTACATCAACATAGTAAAACCTGTTGGTTAAAATAGAAAACAACTTTGCATATTGTTTTTAACAAGTGCTGGCACTTTCTCTAGTGTTGGTATATTGACAAGACTGTAGGAATTAATGAACAACTAACAGAATTTTCTTATTGCAGACCAGTGAACATTTATTAATTGCCTATGATATGCAAAGCACTGGATACCAAAAAAGTTCTCTCCCTTGAAGATTACATTTTACTGGAACATACTCTTCACAAATCAGGAAATACAAGGTCGTTTGAGGAGGGAGGAGTATTAACAACTGGAAAGAGAGAGAGAGGCTGGTTTCCCATTAAACATAAAAAAAAAATTTTAAATTCTGATATAGGCTATATAGACATAAAAAAAGGGTAATGAGGATCTGAACTAGGATAATGGACATGTGAATGAAGAGAGTGAGATTGAAAAGATAATTTAGAGATTGAATCAATAAGACTGGCAACTGACTGAGTAGAGGGAGGGCAAAAGAAAGAGGAGTCAAGAATGACCCAAAGGTTGCTCACATAAGTGCCTAGGAATGTAGTTTATACTGTTTTAGGGGAGTTTGGAAAAGGAAAAAGACTTTGGTAGAGAATTGATTGGTTCTCTTTTAGATAAGTTACATTTGAATTATTAAAAGGTCAAAAAGTTGAAGATGTGCAGCAGTCAGTTGGAGATGTGGGACGAGTTCTGAAGAAAGATTAGTTCATGACTTAGAAGTCATGTAGAGATGATAATTGAACACATGGGAGCTAAGAAGTCACACGGTGGAAGAGTCTATAGAGCGAGGAGTCTCAGGACATAGTTTTGGAGGACACTTATTAGAATTCAGAAATCACAGAATTTCACAGTTGGAGTGGTCCTTAGTCACCATTTAAATCAACCCATTCCACAAAAAATATATTAAACAAGTGGTTGTCCAGCCCCTGTTTAAAGACTTCCACAGAGGGGAAAACCAAGTCATTGATGAAATCTGTTAAATAGCCCAAGGGCAAGTACAGATCCTTGGGTTACTCCATTGGAGACCTCCTGCCACATTGATATTGCATTATTAATAACCATTCTTCAAACTGGGACATCCAAACTGTTCTGAATCCATTAGTACTTTCTGATGTTTTTAACATTTGAGTGCTGGCTTAATCATTTCCCTTACTGAACACATCTATGGTTTCCTTCCACCTCCTTCCTAGTGACCTGTAATAATTTCTCAAGGCAGTTCTCTGAATAAACTTTTCCCCACCTAATCGCATTTATTATCATTTAGTCTACATCCTACATCCTTCTGTCTTCTCCAGAAGAATAGTATGAGATAATAATTGAGTCAGTGTTTTTTAAGAACATAAGAATCGCCATATTGAGTCTTTTCTGACAGCAACACAGAGATTCCTCCCTTATGATAGTAACCTTAGATGTTTTTACCACCAAATTTTGCCCATCAAGCTTTAATCATGAGGGCTCAGTACATAATAATGTGTTATCCTTTCCCCTTAATGTGGTTGTTGATAACAAAATCTAGTTGAGCAGCTGAGTGTTCTGTCACATTTGGAGTCTGAAGAATTTTAGGGTTGGGCTATAAATCAAGATGTTTATTTGTTACTCTCTCTGTGACTTTGGGCAAGACTCAGACTCTCTGGAACTTGGTTGCCTTAAGAGGTATTTGGACTAGGTGGCTTCTGAGATTCCTTTCAGGTCTAAATCTGTAACCTTGACATTTAGTGTTGATTTTCCTTGATTATAAGGAAAGAGAAAAGTTTGGAGTGTGTAGTAGCTAGCAAGGGTGGTATTAGATAAGGTTGGAAAGGTGGGTCATGTTGGGAAGGGCTTTAAATGCCAGAGTTGTTTGAATATTACTTAGGCAGAAATGAACCACAGAAGATTTTTGAGCAGAGGAGTGATTTGATCAGATCTAGTCTTAAAGAAGATCAGTATGCCAATGAGATGAAGGATGATATGGAATTTTAGGGGTACTTTTTTTTTTTTGCTAGGCAGTGGGGTTAAGTGACTTGCCCTGGGTCACACAGCTAGTAAGTGTCAAGTGTCTGAGGTTAGGTTTGAACTCAGGTCCTCCTGACTCTAGGGCCGGTGCTCTATCCACTGCACCACGTAGCTGCCCACAGGGCACCTTTTAAGAGACTAAGTTAATCCAGTTATTTTTCTATCACTTTTCAGTCATGTCTGACTTTTCATAACTCTATTTGGGGTTTCCTTGGCAGAGGTACTGAAGTGGTTTGCCACTACAGGTCATTTTACAGATGAGGAAACTGAGACAAATAGGGTTAGGTAACTTGCCCAGGGTCACACAGCTAGTAAGTGTCAGAGGTCAGATATGAACTCGGCTCTTCCTTGTTCCAGGCCTGGTACTCTGTCTATTGTATCACTTGGCTGCCTTGTAACACAAACAGAGGAAAAATTTTGCAGTGATGAAATCTTGGTAACTCATTGATATGAAGGGTGAGAGACTGGGAAAAGCCAAAGGTAGCACAAAGGGTTTGAAACTAGGTATAATGAGTTAGTATAGTGAAGTTTCAAGGATGGGTCAGTCTAGATCTGTTTTGGTCATGTTGTGTTTTGTGTGACTGTGTGATGATTTGGTGGAGATGGCTTGTAAGCAACCTAAACTCAGATCTGGAACTCAGACGAGAGGTTAGGATTGATGGTACAATCCTGGAAATGAACAGATTGTTAAGGGAGAGGGAATGAAGAAAAAAGTATACCAAAAACAAATTTGGAAAATGTCCCCAATAAGTGGTTAGGAAGAGGTAAAGAGACAGGTGGAATTGTTGAAGAGCTAAAGAGTGTGGTATATCTAAAGTTAGGGGAGGAGGGAGTAATGGCAACAAAGAAGAGTGGATATCTCTGTCAGATGATTCAGAGTTTGTTTGTTTTTAAAGATAAGATTTTCAAAAGGTGCCAATTAGTAACATTATTGAGAGTGGTTTCAATAGAATAGTCTGAACAGAAGCCATAAGAGAGTGAGAGAGTGAAGAATGGGTCATGAGAAAGTATAGTAGGTATAGGCAACTTTTTCTAGAAGCTTGTGCCTGAAGATAAGTGGAGAGAGATGAGTCTGTACTTAGCTGGCATAAAGAGATCAAAAGAGAAGGCTTCTTAAAATTTTATTTTTTAGTACTTTTTTAAGGGGATGTGAATGTGTTTATAAGCAGATATGAAGAAACCAGCGGAGAGGGATAGATTAAAAAAAAACAAATATGAGAGAACAACCTAATGTTTCCTAAACCTGAGAATTTAATACTTGGGGAGAATTCCCTATTTGACAAGAATACGTGGGAAGGCATTTAGCAGAAGTTTGGTATTAGCTCAACACATTATACCAAAGAGTACAAAAAAATTTAAAAATGGATGTACAACCTGAATATTAAAGATGAAGCTATAGAAAGACTAGAAAGTAAGTAGATCAGGTATTCTTTGTGGCTATGGTTAGGGAGAGAATCCTTAAGGGATAGAGGTGATCACAAAAGATAAAGTAGATTATTTCAGTTATAAGAAACTTAAAAGTCTTTTTATGATCAAAGTCAATGGCATGAGGATAAGAAAGAAAGCTGTTGATTGGAAAAAATGCCTTTATAATAAATAACTATGATAAGATTATTATAGCTAATTTTTCCAGGGAACTAAGATAAGTCATTCACTAATGAATAAGTGGTCAAAGGATAGGAACAAACAATCCTCAAAAAAAAAGTACGAATTGTACACAACCATATGAAAGATTGTTCTAAATCGTTAATGAAAGGAAAAATGCAAATAAAAATAATCCAAGTTCCACAACCCAGCAAGTTGGAAATAATAACAAAATATGAGAATAATTAATGTTAAAGGGCTTGTGGAAAGGCAGGCATACTAATGCACTGTTTGGAACTGTAAACTGGTGCAAGCATTCTGGAAAGCAATTTGTAACTATGTTAAGAAAGAGACTAAAATATCCATACCTTTTGATCCAGACATCTCCTTGTTAAACCTTTATCCCCAAGGAAGCCGAAGATAGAAAAGTCCCCCACCTATTCTAAAATATCTGTAATAACATTCTTTGCAATAGCAAAGAACTAGAAACAATGATGTCTGTCATTTGGTGGATGGCTAAACAAAGCATGGTGCATATATGTAATGGTGCTTTAAGAAAGCATGAACGTGAAAAATTTTTAGCGTGGGGAGGTATGAACTAATGCAAAAATGAAGTAAGCAAAACATGTACGATGGCAATAACTTTGTAAATGAAAGAACAACAACAAAAA